TTACATAGATTTTTTAAAAGGATTACTCTATGTAATATTTGGCATATTAACTTTTTACATTCTACTGGTGTTGACATTTTACTAATTCTAAGGTCTCTATGGGTCATATGTGACTCAAAGAGACCTAACAACAACAATAATACAACGTAAAAATCTTACTTCCTTTAACTCACTTAACTTTCTCTATTATAATATACTTGTCAAATATTTCTTCAATGTACATAAAATACTAAATAAGACAATTGAATACTCATTGCTTCAATCATGAAACAGATAAAGAACACTCAAAAGAAGGAAAATATATTGCATTTCTTAATATCTTATAATAAACTTTCTTAAATTTGCAGATTTCTTTTTTTAGTTTACTTTTTATTTCAAGAACCTCCTGTAGTTATTATTTTGGGGTGGGTCGAATATTCTTCATCTTCTTTTATGTGATATTGCCTTTATTTTTCACTATTCCTAAAGATACAATTTCTCTGTATTTAGAATTAGGAGTTGACATTTTTGTATTTCCCTTTCTTTGAAAATTATTGTACCATTTTCTTTGTGCCGCTGTTTTCACATGAAAACTATTTTATAAATTGTTTTCTCCCTACAAATGAAATATTATTCCTTTCTTGCCACTATTGAGGTATTTTTCTTATTACTAGTTTTACATTTGATTATGTCTTAAACAGATATCAATGAGTTCATCCATTTTAGAGTTTCTTTAGCTTCTTGAATCTGTGAACTAATGTCCTTTGCCAAATTGGAGAAGGTTTCAGCCATTACTTCTCTGAGTATTTTTTGGTCCTGTCCTCCACCATTTCTCCTGCTGCAGTGAGATAGATATTAGGACTTTCTTTCTTTTTCTTTTTGTGGTGTCATCAGAAAAGTCCTTGAGAGATGAGACTTTTCTTAATTCTTTAAAATATTATTTTCTGTTTTTCAGATTAGATAATTTCTCTTGTTTTATCTTCAAGCCCATCATGTTGTTCTGTCCACTCTATGAGTAGGAGAGTCCATCTGTTTAGCTTTTGTTTTAAGTATTGTATTTCCTCGTCCTAAACTTTCCATCTCATTCATCATGTATCTTCTGTTTCTTTGTCTAGAATGAAAGGCCAGCAAAATGTTTTCGTATTGCTACTAAAGGATCGATACCTTGTACTATCTAACTTCTTCCCAGTAGAGCTATACAGAAGAAGAATATTAAATAAAAAGTGTTAATCATTTAATATTGTAAATCCAAATAGTACTAACTGTTTAGGAACATCTTTTGTGTATTTACTATATTCATTATTTTAATTCTTGCAATGACATTAATTTTCACTTATTCAGCAAATGTTTACTGAGTGCTTATCATGTATCCAGAACCCTTGATTAAACAGACATTTTTACCATTGGCTTTAAATAAACAAGTAGCTTATTTATTTATAGAAAATGGAACTACAGTTCTGGCTTCCCTAGGTCCAAACATAGTAGGAGAAGATAATTTATGAGTTCCGTTTTCATGCCTCCATACAGCTTAGCCAATATTTGAAATTTATAGACTATGTCTCTAATTCAGATGTGCCTATGACATGTTGTGAAAAAATAGTATGTGTTAAATGGGTTGTAGATTTTGACATCTAGCCTTGAACACAAGTATCCATGGGCTGACCAGTTCTTATAGAGTGCTGTGTTGTTACTGTTGTGTGTTGTTGAGTCGGAACTGACTCATAGCTGAACCTCTAACAGGTTTTCAGAGGCTGTAAATTGCACAGGAGGTGTTTGCTCAGCTTTTTTCTGCAGAGCACCTGGTGGGTTGAAATCTCTTGCCTTTAATTTGAAAGTACAACTCTTACCCTTGTCCTGTGAAAATGATGTGAAATACTATTCTTGTTTACAATTTAAAGACTAGTGTTCTTTCTATGATTACCTTTAATGTGTTGGCATAACTTTATTCATTTTCACAAAGTAGCTTTGTAACGTGATAGAATATATAGTGCTCCTCAGACAGAAATGTAATCATAATCATGGAGGGCATATTTGAAACACTGATTTCTAGGCAGCAACAAGATTTTTTTCCTGGATATGTCTCAGATGGTGCCCAGAATTTGCATTTTTAACAGAATCCCAGATACTGCTGATGACGCTGTTCTGGAGAGTTCTCTCTGAGTAACTGGCCCAGCCACAATTTTCTCTGGTAAGGAGTTGTGTCTACCAGCATGCTTCAAGGGAAAATAATGGACAGTCTCCTCTAGTGCAATTTACAGCCTCTGAAAATCTGCTGGTGGGTCAGCTGTGAGTTGGTTCCAACTCCATGGTATACAGTAACAATAACAGCATCTCTCCCTTTGAAACTTGGATTGAATCTGATTTCATTCTCACTGGTCTCAGTTCTTAAACTAGTCTTTCTGATAGCCTTTCAGATTTCCAACTCAGTAGAAAGCACACTCTTTTAGTTCCCCATCTTACTTGATGTGTAAAAATCATTCAATACAGTTGATTTTATCAAACTTTTATTTGGTTCACCTCATTTTCTCTTTCTTTTCATTTCCCTTTTCCCCACCCTCTCAACTCAAAATCGGAATGCTGGCATTCATTCTGGGTTCTTAATCCTCATTTCATGAATAACGCGGCTTTCTCCTCATTGTATGTTGATAATTTCCAAATTGATATCTCCAGCTTAGACATGCCCTTAGCCAAGCTTTATTACAGTATGACCAATTAATTTCTTATGTGTCCACTTGAATAAGTTCTTGTTGTTATGTGTCATCCAGTCTTCTTGCACTCATAGTGAGAACAGAAGCTCTAAACCTTGCCTTATCCTGTGCTAACCTCTCCATCTGACACCTGAAACATTGTTACAGTCACTGTGGCAGTAATCTACTTCCACCTCTCTCAGCATGATGTCCCGAACGTGCCCTAAGTATGTGAGACAAAGTTTCACCATCCTTGCCTCCAAAGGGCAATCTGGCTTCACTTTCTCCAGTAAAGACATTTTTGTTTTCTTGGAAATCTATGGAATATTTTGATAGCTAGTCACAATATTTAAGCAATTCTAAGATTCTTCTAGAGATTATCTCTGGAATTCAATGCATAATGCTTTCTCTGTGAAAGAAAGTAATTCCTTCTTTCCCCTTCCCTAATCCTAGATGCCCCTCTTTAAATCTTTTCATCTCATAAGGGAGATTAAAATTTATTTCATTCAGTGAATGCAAGAAACTAGGGCATTAGCCACTCATTCTCCCCGTCTTTCAATCTGCTATTATTTCTACTTCCAAAACATTCTTCATTTATGCAACATATAACCTTGTCCACTTGCTGCACAGAGGTAACTCGTGGTTGCTGTGAAGCTCAACACTGTGACACTGAAGTGTAAAATTCAATATTGGTCACCCATGGTGGACAGTGTTTGGTGGAGCTCCCCGATTAAAACAAACTTGGAAGCAGGAGTGGTATCCACTTCTGAAATAGCTTGCCTCCAGATACTCTATGAGTTTGGAGAAACGATGCAAGTTATACAAGTGTTCAGGTCTTTTGTTCATAGGGTCGCTATGAGTCGTCTACGACTCGATGGCAACAACAACAACAACGTCAACAACATTATCTATGCTGCCATTACCTTTGCGTCAGCCATATTGTCTCTCCCAAGAATTATTTATAACGTCTTTAACTTTTCTAAGTTTTCACATACAGTCTCTATATGATTTTTAGACTCGTCTTAAAAAAAAAGAAAATGGATCATGCCTTTAAGCCTTGCTTAAAATTGTTTAAGAAATTAAATTCAATATCTTTACTAGGGCACCAAAAAGACCCTTTTAATAAAAAAGTTGATATAAAGAGTTGATTTAGGCTGCCTCAGCATTCTCATTTAGCCCTATCTTCTTACTCATTCATTACAGAAATACTACTATTCGGTCAGTTTCTTTACAGTAATCAGTTGTTACTTATTGGAATGTTCTTTTTCCACTTTTCACCTGCCTGTACCCTCATTTGTTCTTTAGCTTGTTAAATTTAAATGTAAATGAAATCTAATTTTCCTCTCCAGCATTCTGTACTCTCCTGTAGAACCCCATGCCCCTGATGCAGCTGTGTATTTCATGTGATTTTTTACTGTGCTTATTCTCCTCTCTGTTGAAAGCATGTCACATTGTTTTAAGCCTTCTTCTATGAGAAATTAAACTATGAACAGAATTTAAAAATACAAATGTACATATGTAAATGGATAAAAGTTTATGGTGGTTTTTTTTCAAATTTGAGAGAAAGAAGGAACATATAAATTAGGGAAGTTGTTACTATTCTAACTTGGAATTGCATAAACAGGTTTAAAATGGTTTTAAATGTAAATATTCAGTTGGTACAGTGATGAAATTTCTGAAAAACGTTGAAAATGGTTTCAAAAGAATACTACATAATTCACTGTATTTAAGTAAATTTTATTTTATTTTCACTAGTAGAAGTAGGATGATTCTGCTTTATCATTTTCATTTAAAATTTATGTTTATGTAACCAATTATCTTTTCCCCCTTAACCATCCTGATCTAGCGGATTTCAGCATTATAAAATGAACATACTAGATTCCAGTGGCAAAATATAACTGATGAGCATTTTGTTATAACAGCTATTGGCAAGCTACCGTTTATTTTATGAAAACTTCTGAATCTTTGGACCTGAACAGAATTGTTTCTGTAGGCCTTCATGAAAAAGAAGAGCACAAATAACAGTCAATAGTCTATTTCTTTAGTCATAATATGGAACTTCTTTGGTTTCTATTCTGTTTATTAGCTTTTTCTCTTCTTGCAGAACTTTTGTTTTGTAGGGTTTACCTAGAGTTTATGAACCTGATACTCTACCTGCTATCAGCTTTACTCATTTAGAATCTTGGTGCTCTCTCGAGATGTTTAGAGAGTGCTACAGACCAGGTTCTCCGAGATAGACAGGATCACACGGTTTAAAATGTTTATGATGTCTTTGTCTGTCCTTTCTTTCAACGTCTCCTTTACTGCACTCTTTTGTCTGTCTGACTCTCACAGGAGACATGGATTACAACTGGTTGGACCATACGTCTTGGCATAGCAGTGAGGCATCCCCAATGTCTTTGGTGAGACATGTGGAGCCTTACTCTTTAATTTTCTGTTATCATTTCACTTTTCCTTTTTTATTTATACCTCTGCATGTTTTTCTTTTTTGTATCCTTTTTTATTTTCGTTTTTTTATTTTTACCCCATACCTGTAGGGGACAGTCAAAAGGGAAAAAGAAAAACTAGTGAGCAGGCAGTTTTGTCGGACTCTCACACCAGGTCTGAGAGACAAAAGAAAATGATGTACTTTGGTGGCCACTCTTTGGAAGAGGATTTGGAATGGTCTGAACCTCAGATTAAGGACTCTGGGGTAGATACGTGTAGTAGCACAACCCTTAACGAGGAACATAGCCATAGTGATAAGGTACTGAGATTGTGAGCCTGCCTTTTAACCTGCTCATTTGGTCTTCGTTTGCTCTCTGTCACTCATTAAAACAAAACATAATAAAAAGACAGGGCATTTCAAAGGTCAATGTAGCATTTCTCAAGGTGCAGAAAAGAAAAACAAAACAAAAAACCCTCTTGCTTGCTTTGCTCTTTTTTATTCTCTGATGACATGCCAAAAAATTATAAACAAGTAAATAAAAATAAAAATTAGGAACGAAGGAAATGGTTTTGTCTTATGGTCGCATGAAAGAACTTTGTGATGTTATTATAAACCACAAATAATAAAGAATTTTTGGATTGGCTTATTTGATTGCTTGCATCTATTTTCCTTGGGATAAAAAATTTAAAATTATTAATAGCTTGAATCCCAGGCAAATGGGAGATAATTGGGTTTGTTTGCACAGAAAAAAGTTGTTTTTCTTTTTTCCCTTTCACTGTCATTTTGCTCTTTTGTTTGATTGTCACAGCATTTTAATGTAGTATTAATTAGTGCTAGAACCATTGTCATCTGCTTCGGTATTTATTATTTTTGCTTTTAGTGTAGTGGGACTGGGACTTTGGAAAATCTTTTTATCATGTTAGTGTGATTGACTGGAACTTGCCTTTTGCCTGCTAAATTTTGCATGAATATGTGCATGCTATTGTAGACATGGAAAGTACTGTGATTACACAAATCATTTATTTTGTTATTTAACATACAGTTAAAATAGAATGATGCCTTTATAAAGGATTTAATTCTGCCATGAAAATGAAATAAGACTATGAATATTTTCTGTATTCTTAACAATGAACGCCACTGAAGTACCTAATGTGTCATTTTCTAAATAGATCAAAGACTTTAAATAATTAACTTCTAAAAAGTGATAAATGTACTCTATCCTCACTTTTTAATTAGGCCATATGTGTCCCATGTACATCCAATTGGAAACTTTTATGAGGCTACATTTTGCAATTTTAATCTAAAACTTATTCTTAAAAAAGTCTTCATGTTCTTCTTCGTGAGTTGAAATTTCATGTTTTAATAGGATCTGAAAGGGTTTTTTTCTGTAATAAAAATCTTTCCAAATCCTTCCCCACAAAATGTCTAAAAATGAAATACTGATTTTTAAATGCTTTACTTACCTACAAATTTAACTGTCCTCCCTCCTGCCTGTGACGTTTTAACCTCAGCACAGATTATTACATTAGAATGTACATAACTTTTTAATGTTTTATTATTGTAAAACTATATAACTCTGGGTCATGTAAGAACAATATAAGAACTAGAAGTAATTGTATTTTGGAAAATGTTAAAATTGTAAAACTGAGGTTAATTTAAGAAGTCTTTTTGATCAGTATTTTGGAGTTGAAATTGGTTTGTGTAATCATAAAACTTTGGAATTCTGAAATTTAGGAAGATTGTACATTTTTTGTGATTTGTTATAAAAATACATTAATTTCTCTGTTTGTTGATGCAATATGTCAGCATCCTGTGACCTGGCAGCCATCCAAAGATGGAGATCGTTTAATTGGTCGCATTTTATTAGATAAACGTCTAAAAGATGGAAGTGTGCCTCGAGATTCAGGAGCAATGCTTGGCTTAAAGGTGAGTACTGACATTTGGCTCTGTATACCTTCCACAGGATTATCAGAAGTGAAGAAGCCATAGTAACTATTTCTATCTATGCCAATTCAGTGCATTTCCCCCTACTTCAAAGAATTTCCAAATATTTGCATTGATTATCCTAAACTTTGAAATTTTCCAAATACTAAGAAGCTTCCGTAGTTATAGTAATGTTATAACTCTCCTTCTGGAAGTTGGTGCAAATAATTTGTGTTACAATAGTTGTTATATATATAACAATAGTAATATATAGTGCTTAAACTTTCTTTGTATGTATTATTTGTTCTTTAATTTTATATCCACATTTATATTCTAGAAAAGTATAGCTTTTCTGATTACTGATTTTCTAATCTGGAAATTACACATATATGTGTGTAACACTGCTTGCATATGTCTTGAATAAGTTGGTAGCTTTTAATTTAGAAGAAGTGGTCATGAAATCAAAAGATGTATTGCATTGGACAAATCTGTAAAACTTCTCTTTCAAATGATAAGGAATGTGTCTGTCACTGTGAAGACTATGCTGGGCCTTGATCATCTCATAATAATGTGAAAGTTGCACAGAGAATAAGGAAGAGCAAATAATTTATTTGTATTGTGATGTTGATAATAAATATGCAGTGTATCATTGGCTTCCAATACTATGCAGCACGCAGGAGCAAGAGCTTTGTAAATTATTACCTAACTTGGGAGGGACTGGAGAGCATTATGCTGAGTGAACTAACTCAATCACATAAGGATAAATATTGTATAAAACTGTTGTAGAATGAGTATAAGGACCCAGAAGGGGTAGAAGAGGCTGGAAGCAGAGGGATGTGGAGGAAAAGGGGGGATTAATCATTGGGTTGCACAATTTGATGGGGGTGAGGTGAGGGAAATTCAAAGGATTTATTCAAATTTGTATTCGAATTTGTGAATAAACTAGTAGAAAAATTAATAAAATTACATGGAAGCTCTTTAACACTGCAATCCTAAATTATGAGAGAAATTAAAGAGAAAAGAAAGTTTCTACTAATAAATAAAAAATGCAGGCAGAACGCTTCTTGGAAGCAAGGATGGTGAGACCCTGTGTCACATCCAGTGTGCACATTATCAGGAGGCCCAAGTCCTGGGGAAATCTACCAGGCTTGGTAGAGGGGGCAGAGTGTGAGATGGATTAAAGAGTGGCTGCAGCAGTGGGTTCAAGCATTGCACTGATTGTGAATACAGCAAAGGGACAGCAGTATTTCATTCTGTTCATAAGGCAGCTGTGACTTGGAGCTGGCTCACTTAGTGTCCTCATTTTACTACTACTAAGTGCTGCTGAGTCAGAACACACTCAAGGGAGACCCTGCAGTTGGTTTTGGAGGCTGTAAATCACACAAGACGTTGCCCATCATTCTTTGCTGGGCTGACTGATGAGTTCAAACCACCAGAGCCTCTGCTTCAGGTTAACAGTTCAGTTCTCTATGAACTAGGCCACCAGAGAAAACCATTTTGTTTAATCAGTGATGTCAGTTGGTATTGTTTGCTTTACTTACCACAGACGAGCTTTTGTGGCTTAGAGTGCAGCATGGCGTGGTACTAATCAGAACTGCCAGATATTTCATGGGGAAAAGATGAATAGTTTTTGTCCTGTGAACATTTACAGCCTCAGCAATCTGATGGAGCATCACTTTGAGTGGGAACCAACTCGGTGGTAACAGATGGGGTTTGGTGTTATTTGCTATTTTATTGAGAGGCACTCAATCAGAATCACAGTACTGATTTCAAGGGGGGAAAAAATCAGCGCTAGCTGTAGATGCATAAGTAAGTTTTGTGCTGTTCATTGAAAGAATTGCAATTGCCATTCAAAGAGTGGCAGCTGCTCTCCAAGAAAAAGATGAGTCCACTGGTCTTAGGCTTTGTAGTCTCAAAATCCTGGTGCAGGGTTGACATGCATGAGAATCAACTCAACCGTGCAGGGTTTGGTTTCTTTTTTAAATTTGACTGAAAGAGATCTATATTTGTTCCCATTCCAAAGAAGGGTGACCCAGCTGAGTGTGGAAACTACAGAACAATAGCATTGATTTCACACGCAAGAAAGATTTTACTGAAGATTATCCAAAAATGACTGGAACAGCACATCAGCAGAGAACTGCCAGAAGTCCAGGCTGGGTTTGGAAGGGGTCGTGGTACTAGGGATATTGTAGCCGATGTTAGATGGATCTTAGCTGAAAGCAAAGAATACCAGAAGAATGTCTATCTGTGTTTCGTTGATTATGCAAGGGCATTTGACTGCGTGGATCATAACAAACTGTGGCTGACTCTGAGAGGAATGGGAATCCCAGAGCATTTGATCATGCTAATGCGCAACCTATGCTTGGACCAAGAGGCGGTCCTCAGAACAGAGCAGGGCAACACTGAATGGTTCAAAATTGGGACGGGTGTGCGCCAGGGATGTGTCCTATCTCCATACCTTTTCAACCTGTATCAGAACAGATTATCCGAGAGGCTGGGCTCTATGAGGAGACGCGTGGCGTTAAGATTGGTGGAAGATCTATCAACCTTGCTCGCTGCAACTGAGGAGGACCTCGTGCACTTACTGCAGAGGGTCAAGGACTGCAGCATTCAGTATGGATTAAGGCTCAATGTTAAGAAGACAAAGATTCTCACCACTGGACCAATTGGTAGTATCAGGATGGATGGCGAAGAGATTGAGATTGTTCACAGCTTCAGTTTGCTCGGCTCCACAGTCAACACTCTTGGCACCAGCAGCCAGGAAATTAAAAAACGTATTGTGATGGGAAAGTCTGCTGTTAGGGACCTCTCTAAAGTACTCAAGAGCAACGGTGTCTCTTTGGAGACAAAGGTGCGCCTGATACAGGCCATGGTCTTTGTAATCACTTGTTATGCATCAGAGAGCTGGACAATGACTAGGGAGGACAAAAGGAGAATTGACGCCTTTGAGCTGTGGTGCTGGAGAAGAGTATTGAATGTACCATGGACTGCCAAGAAAACAAACAGATCCATCCTAGAGAGGGTTAAACCACGCTACTCCTTGGAGGCAAAGATTCTGCGGCTTTGTCTGACATACTTTGGACATGTTGCAAGGAGAGACAGGTCTTTGGAGAGGGACATCCTGCTGGGTAGAGTAGAGGGACAGCGCAGGAGGGGAAGACCCTCTATGAGGTGGATTGATTCAGTGACTGGGGTAATCGGGATGGGTGTGTCAGAGGCAGTGCGGTTGGTGCAGGATAGAGCAGGGTTTAGGGCTGTTGTACATAGGGTCGCTATGAGTCGCAAATGACTTGATGGCACATAACAACAACAACAACATCTTGCAGGTGCAAGTATGACTTCACAGAAATGTTGCTAACATTCGTTTTTCAAGTTCTAAAGGAAATTTCAGCCAGTTAGGTGTTTTTTACCTGTGTGAGACTGCTCCATACAATTTTCAAGGCTGTAACTAACCCCTTGAAAGCAGATTGCTATGCCCATCTGCAAAGCAGCTCTGATTGAGTTTTAACTGATGTGTTTCAGCTGGTAATCAAGTGCATAGATATTTATCACAGTAGAGTTGGAATTCAAATGATCTGTCTAGCTGTCCTGATGAAGTTAAAGACATTTTGTAATAAAACATATTTTATCATTTTCTCAAGAAAGGTATATTTATTAATGCACCTGAAAGATAACGAAGAATGAAATTTTGGTTCTTTATTGTATTTAAAGTCATAAAATCAGATATTTGTAGTGGTATTTGACATTTAGCTACAAACACTTGATTTTTCTTTTAGCACTGACAAACCATTTTGGAATAAAGATAAAATTGCCTAACATTTATTTCTATAGCATATAGCATTTTCAACAAGTGGTGGTGGTGTTACGTACCTTTTAGTCAGACTGAGACCTTGCATAGCATGTTTTCAGAGTGAGTAAATTACAGGGGGGACATTGCCCATCTTTCTTCCATGAAGCAGCTAGTAGATTTGAACCACATGCATTTGATTGTTCAAGCAACTCCTTATCACTAAGCCACCAGTGCTCGCCTTTCAACAAGTAATGAATTAACCTCGAAAACACTGAGAATATGTAAAAGGAGTCCACACTTAAAGCATGTATTTAGTTCTGTATATCAATATTATGTAATCAACAAAATTCTTATCAGTTCATTAGCTTAAATTAAAAGGTTAAAGTTGTAAATTGCCTTGACATTTTTTAACTTGAATCTTCAGCTATATTCTTTCTGACAATAAGCCTATTTTAATACTTACCTCTTTTAAACAGGTTGTAGGAGGAAAGATGACAGAATCAGGTCGGCTTTGTGCATTTATTACCAAAGTAAAGAAAGGAAGTTTAGCTGATACTGTAGGACATCTTAGACCAGGTATGTCTACTTTGATATTTAATATTTTTGAATTGTTAAACTTGGTGAAAACTAAACTTTTAGCTAATTACTAAACACTCACTCAATAGAATTTTATGATTGTTTCTTTAATCTCATTCATAAAATAATTTTTTATATTTACTGATGACTAATCCTAATCAATATTTAACATTAGCCTTTCCCCCTATTCATCTGCATTTTTTATTAAATCCTATATTGCTTAGAAAACAAACTGAATAACTAAATGCATATTTCCTACAATGAGTCAATCCTTGATGCTGGTTCCTATTGGAGAATTTTTTAGTGCCTTAGAGAAGAGTCTATAAGATGCTAATTATTAAACTTTTTAGCGGAGAATTTAGGCCACAGCTAGTCTTTGAAGACAGCAAAATGCTCAGCTGCATACATATTAAAAAAATCTAAAGTAATAGAATTATGAAATCTTCAAAGCAACACCAAATTCTGACTGTTGTGTATAGTTAATATTTCTATTAAAATATCACCTAATGCTAACTTTTATCATTTGGTGGGCTGTAGTTTGAGTTATTTTTTTTAAATGTATTTTCTCAGATCCTTGTCCTGTTAGAATTTTCCCACTGAGTGAAACAATGATGGCCCTAGTTATCAAAATGTATGCTCCTTCAGCTGTTCTCAGTGTTTCTATTTCCATAATGTTGACTTTATTTCATGGAGTTCATTGAAGCTTAAAATTGCTTCTGTTTTATGTACCTTTAATGGGATCAGCTTCTAAGGTTGTCGTTACTGACACACGCTCTAGGTGATGAAGTGTTGGAATGGAATGGAAGGCTATTACAAGGAGCCACATTTGAAGAAGTATACAACATCATTCTGGAGTCCAAACCTGAACCTCAAGTGGAGCTTGTTGTTTCAAGGCCTATTGGGTAAGCTGGTTGAGTACTTTATCTTTTTATGAAGATGTGTTGCTCAATAATGATTATCTTGGTTTATGGAAATAAGTTTTTTGTTGGGAACACTCTTTTTTTTCCTTTCTTGCAAAGCCTTCTACCAAATATAATGTATCTTTATATGATTATACTAGAATATATGTTGACATTGTGTGTGCTCTTGAGTCAAAACTAACTCATAGCTGACACTCCAGCGGGTTTTCAGAGGTGGTACATCCATCACGTGGGAGGAGATTGCCCAGCTTTCTCCTGTGGAGCAGCTGTCTTTGCCTTGGTAGCACAATTTCTTACCCTTTGGCCACCAGAGCTCTCACTAGAATATATAGTTCTTAGCAAAAGAATAAGATGAGCTCTCTTTGGGAAGTCTTGAGAGAAGGGTACTGCTAACCCAGATGTTGTGTGTCTCTTGAGTTTCAAATCCCCTAGAGACTCTGCAGGAGAAAGATGGATACTTTCCTCCCATACATTTTAACACTTCAGAAAATCAGGGGAGGGTCCGCTCTGAGTTGATTCTGATTCAGCAGCCAGGAGTTTCATGAGTAAGAGATATTTTAAGTGTTTATTACTTTCATTATCTTGGCAACTTAGTAAATGGCTGAAGGCAGTAGTAGCTTAGGGAATAAATGTCTCATGTATTTATTATAATGATAATTACTTTTAAAATAGGTTTATGAACTATGGTGGCCTATTTTATAAAAATTAAGAGTATCTATTTTAGGAATTGAACTTTTTTTCATGATGACTGTTTCAACATAAGAGAGAAAAGGGTTTATTATTCCAAGATATTTGGAACAGTTTAAGGAAAAAACAGAAGATTTTTAAGGATGGTTAGTTAATATACAGAAAATAAAGTAACACCTCTGTAGAGAGGTGTGCTACTATCAAAGGTAGCTCCTCTCTGATGGTTCAAATCGTATTGTCTTTCTGAGGGAGAAAGACGGAATGTTTCCTTCTGTGTTGCTGTCTGTTTGCTGGCAATGAGCAGTGACACCCTAATTGGGGTAAGCACGATGGAGACACACCACTCCGGGAGCCGATCAGAGAGTTAATCCAGCTCAGTTTTATTGGGGGCTGCAGCACACTTATATATGAGCAAGTAAACTGGAAGACAGGATAGGGTGGGCTTGCAGATATAGGACATGCGGATTGGATAGGAGAACCTCAGCCTTGTGCAGACGACTCCCAGCTCAACAGTCGCAGCAGCCATCTGTCCAGCTTTCTCAAGCTGGTACCACCAAACAAAAGAGAGCTTTCTCTACCCGTATTAATGGCCATTGGGAGGCTTGCACTTATCTGGAGTGGAGTGATATGTCCTGGCCAGAGGCCCTCCCTTCCTCCCCAACATTCTCCAACACTCCTGTACAATTTACATCCTCAGAAACCCATGAGTGTCTACTATGTATTCCAACCCAAAGGCAATGATTTTTGGAGTAGTGTTTGTTTGCCCTTATAATTGATTACCTCTCTCACTCACTCAATACAGTCATAGATTATTGTTCAGTAGGTTTTCAGGGTATATCTGTCTAGTTAGGATATCATCCATCTTTCTCCCATGGATTTGAACTGCTTGCCTTTGGGTTTACAGAGCAACTCCTTACCCACTATAAATTATAGCTCCCCTGTAAATAATAGCTGGGACACTGATGTGCCAGACGTGGTAATGGTTACCCATGGTGGACAGTGCTTGCTGGAGCTTCCCAACTAAAACAAGCCTGGAAGCAGGAGCGGCATGCACTTCTGAAATGGCTTGCCTCTGGAAACTCTGTGTATGAAGAGTATTCGGGCCTTTTGTTCATAGGGTCGCTATGAGTCGTCTATGACTTGATGGCACCTAACAGCAACAACCACATAAATTATAGACATAATTCTTAAAATATGATACTTGATTCTGTTTATATCTATAGCTATATCTATAGATCTGGTGGCCTAGTGGTAAGAAGCTGCATTGCTATCCTGAAGGCATGCAGTTCGAGGCCACCAGCCATTCTGTGGGAGGATGGGCAGTTTCCTCCCAGGCATCTAACTGCCTCTGAAGACCCACCAGAGGGTCAACTTTGGGTCGGTTCTGACTCAATGGGACACAGCAACAATATTAAAATTACTCATTAAGTATCATCACAATGGCACTTCCTTTACAGAAGCTTACATTCTAATCCAAAATAAAGGATACATTTAAAATTAAATAGAAAAATAATTGACACTTATTAAACTTGTGTTTGGGTTATGAGCATTCTTGACAGGAGGCTAGAGAAATTGTTCTATGTTGGAAAGTACTAATATCCAGTTCTAACTTACTTAGGAAATGATTACTTTAATCTCTTTTTATGCTTCAATAAATGACTTATATTGGTAACTTTTTAAAAATATTTTTTATTGGTTTTCATATAATAATTCCTTTACGTTTTATTTCATTCATATACATTGTGTTTTATACAATATTTTATTTACATTGTGTTTCATGCAATAATTTATATACATTCTATTTTACATTTTTTAAATTTTGTTCATTATCAAGTTTATATACACCGTATTTTACATTATTCTTCATTCAGATTGTGTTTCATACACTATATTTTATAAGATCAATCACCGTTGGACCTTGACCATAATTACCCCTGTCTTTTCTCCCAGATCCTCTCCATTTGCTTCCCCCATCCCTTCACTCACCAAACTTCCCAGTGGTTTCACCCTAACTATCCTCTCCCCTTCACTCCCTGCTCCTGCATCTGGCACATGAAATTACATCAGTTTTTAAGTTAGGCTTTCCTAAATTCTGTATTATGATACACTTTAGTGAATTGATTTGGTATAGTATTCAGCATTGTTGGGTTACCCAAAAAGGAAGGTAAGTGCAGACTGACTTGTGCTTCCTTATCTGTAGTGAACAAGTACTTATTATTTTCACTACATCAAATTATGCCTTTTGATATGGGAGCCATCTGTCCCTCTTTAAACATCATAGAACCTCCCTAGAGAGTCAAAGCCCCTTTCCCAGTTTATGATCTCTGACAGTCTCAGAGAAAACTCTGGTGGCCTAAGGGTGAGGAGTCGCATGGTTCTAATCCACCAACTGGTGCGTTTGAGAACAATAGACTGTCTCCTCTGGTGTAATTTTACAGCCTCTGTAAACCTGCTGGAGGGTCAGTTATCAGTCAGTTCTAACTTGGAGGCAGTGAGTTGTTGGACTTTTGTTTGACAGCTTCAGATTTGCTAATGACTGACCCTGGTAGTAAAATCTATTTTAAGGTATTAAAAAAGCATCAAGTCATGTTATTTTATATTTACAGTAATTTACAAGCATTTATATTAACTTTCTACATGTTCTTAACCATTCATATCTACCTCTTCTGGTGCAAATAAAACACAAACATACACTTATTTTGAGTGTAAATACAGGTGAAAATGTAAATTTAGGCATTTCAAGGAAAAAAGTTTATATATTTCTCAATAAGTTTATTTTAAAAGTTTTAATAATAATAGTATCTGAATATTTAAGATTTTATGAGACATTTTATTAGGTATCTTTGAAGCATATCTTGAATATAGACCTTTTTATGAATGGATAACAGTACTATGGCAAAATAAAGTATACATATTTTTTTTATAAGTAAAATTTTATTTTAATTGTGATTTTAATGAACATTTATAGTGATGTTAGCTTTTCATTTATTTAATGTTGCACATTTTATTTCCTCTTCTTCCTTTTTCCCTGTCCCAGTTCACTTTTTATAAAAAATTCATTGTTTGCCCATATACATGTTTCTAAATATTCTGCAAATACCTAAGAATGATATATAATTTTAAATAATTGCAGTTAACTCAAAGGCTTTTATTAGCTCTTAACAACAGTTTATTTCAGTTTTAAGTAGTATCGCTCTAAATGCAATTTAATATTCACACTGTTCAATTTTAATGGGTTGAGAATCATGAAAAGAATGGTTGTGTTGATTGTTGAAATAGTTTCTTGTGTTGTTTTGCTATCATTTCAGAGATATACCCAGAATTCCTGATAGCACACATGCACAACTGGAATCCAGTAAGTTTCATGTACTTGAAGAAGATATTGTTAATAATGCCATTTCTCACAGATCAAATGCCATTTATTACAGATCAAGTGATGTCTTTTCTTTACTGGTACAGTGTAACATATAATAGTATTGTTATCTAGAATATGTCTGTGTAAAATGGCAAATTTAGTTTTATGTTTGTGTTGTTAGGCGCCATTGAGTCAACATGACTCATAGTTATCCTGTGAGCATCTGAACATTGTCCTATCAGGCGCTATCCTCATGATCTCGGAGACTTTCAGACCCGTTGTTAAAGTCATTATGTCCGTCTATATGGTAGAGGGTCTTCCTCACTTTCTCTGGCTTTCAACCTTTCAAAGCATCATGTCCTTTTCCAAGAATTACACGCTCCCCCATGACAAGATATCCCAAGCGTGTGAGGAGAAGTTTCACCATCGTTGCTCTAAGAAATGCCCTGGCTTCACTTTTTCAAGATTGACTTGTTTGTTCTTTTCACATGTGTAAAGGAAAAATTAAAAATTCTGTCATATTTTACATTTTTTTCAAAGAAAAGCGCACACACACAACCTTGATTGCTGTGGCTTTTTAAAAAAGATTTACTATGGGAAAATTAAAAAAAACAAACCTACTTGGTGTCAATTTTTCTAAGTTTTGACTTCTATTTTGAAACCATTACCATGACCACAAATATTGAACATATTCCTCAGCCACAAAAGGCTTACCTCTCTAAAAATTTTCCTCAATTTTTTCAATTTTACTACTTTATAATTTTACATATAAGCACTCCTGACAGCTTGTTTGGAGGTTCTAGCAGGGGAGCGCAGCTACTCATATACCCTTGATGGAAGGACGGTCTTCCTTCTACCGGGGATGGTTATCCTCCTAACTGAGTGTGCAGCTTTAGGACGGACGCACGTGGATCAGTGAGATCGATGCCCACCAGCCAGATCAGCCGAATCAACCCTGGCGATCAATGGGGTGACAGATGTCACAACCTGGTCACCCTCACGTCTCCTCACGAGCCACTCTTGATGACTCGGTGATTAAGCACTCCACCACTAACTGAAACGGTGGTGGTTTGAACTTAACAGCTCAATGGGAGGGTTAGGGTTAGGGTTAGGGTTAGGATTTGGCGGTCTGCTTTTGTGAAGAGGAAAGTCATATGGTGGCTTTCCTATGGTGTGGTTCTCCCAGGCCTGAAGACTCACTAGAAGTCAAGAATGATTCAACAGCATTGGATTTAACCCAATATAGGTGTACAGTGTTGGGGGGATGCTTAGAAGCAATACTAGTGGGTAATTACATCTCTTCTCATTTAAATTTTTGGGGAAGGAAATAATTATTTTGATTCAAGCATAAAATATTAGTGAAATGATTAGATAAGCTTTATGAGTTCAAACAATGTCAACCATGTAAATATTTTTAAAATATACTTTTGAGTAGTATTTCATGTTAAGCCGACATACTCTATTAAACAATACATTTATGTAGCTTCAGAGAGAGTAAAGGTAGGCATATAGATTGGTCGGGATTAATTAGTTTAAAGAAAAGCAAAGAGACCAGTATAGTTGCATAGTTGTGAAGAAGGGTAGGATAGGAAAAGAGACATGAGGCTTCAAAAAGTAGAGGGTCAAAGGAGGAAAGGAAGACCTTGGGATGGACTTAGGACGGGGAGGAGCTGATGCGATTTCTTTCTCTGTGTCTCGGGTTATGAGTCAGGGCTGACTGTTGCACCTAACAACTAGGACAACTGAAGAGGGGATAGAAGAGTAATGGGTAGCAAAATTGCACAGGCTTTATAAGCCACTGAAAGGACTTTGAGATTGAGAGCAGGAGTATGAAGTGGTTTTGAGGATATATACATATGTGTGTGTGTGTGTTTTAAATGATGGGATCACAATTGAAAAAACCGGGTCATTAGTCTCGATAATATAGTCAGTAGAAAATGGTGACCATAATAGTATAAGTACATATTCCTTTTATTTATAAAATAGTATTACTCTGTACTATAATTGTTGTGTTGTTGTTAAGTGCCATCAAGTTGCAGGCGGCTCATAGCGACCCTATTAAGGAGAGTCCTTGACTCTTGGGTGTCTTTCGTTCTCTCTCCAGTGTATTTTAATATATGGTCATATTTTTAATTTGGACCCCACTTAACAACAACAACATTGATATCAAATTGGTATAAATTTTAAAATATTATAACATTATAAAATATGTTAACATTAAAAATACGGTACCATTGAGGTTAAGAACATGGTCTTTATGACATGTCAGTATATCAAGATTAATTTTAAAAGAAGATTGTTAAATACTGGTGAAGAATTACTGTTACTATTCTTTTTCACAATTATCATTTCAGGTTCTAGCTCATTTGAATCTCAAAAAATGGATCGTCCTTCTATTTCCGTTACTTCTCCCATGAGTCCTGGCATGTTGAGGGATGTCCCACAGTTCTTATCTGGACAGCTTTCAGTAAGTAATCACTAAATTAATTCATTTTTCTGGAATGTCAGGTAGATTTATTATCTTATACTATTAACCACTTAATTTTTTGCAAACTGTCTTCTACCTTGAACATAATTATGTTTCTAACCATCAGCTTTTTCATTTTTAATAATGTAATTCATTTAGACTTTATGTTGATTGTTAAGGACAGAACATTTTTATTAGTTACTTTTTGGAATTCACTGAGTTAGATAATATGATGACATCCAAGATATTACTCTAAATCTTACTAATATTATTCCAGAATCTCAGGTCAAACTGTAGCTCTATGCCTTTAAATGAGTGTAAGCTATTATATTTTAAAGAGAAAGAAAAGTTTTATGCTATTCAAAGATGAAATGTAAGATAAAGCAAATATATTTATATTCTTCCCTACTTTTCAATCTTAAGGAAATATGGGGTCTGAATGCTTTTCTGAGTTAATCATGTCAATAAAGAAAACCAAATAAATGATGAAATATTACACAGATTTTTCAAAACACCAGTTGATTTTCATTATATGATATTTAATTTGAGCATATTTTAGTAAGTTTAAAAATTATGTACCAGTTAAAAAAAACAAACCCAAAACTGCAAATTTTAGCATTTAACATTTTGCAAAGCACATTTAACAGAAATTGATTATAATATTTGTTCTGGTGTTATCTCATAATTAATTTAAAAATAATCATATCATTGAAGTCTATTAAATTACATTTTAGAAATATGCTGCTTAATATTGCCAGTAATATTGGTGACTTAAGGTAACTGAAATTTTATGGATATTAAAGAATTATTTAGGTTCAAAGTTCTAGCACTAGATTTCAATTGAAAAATTTTATAATTAAATTATTCTCATGGTTATATTTTAAGAGAAATAGTAAAAAGCTTTTAGTCGAAGAACCTATGAAGTTTCTCTTCTTACAGTTTTGACAGAGGGAGAGGTGCTTGTTTTTTACTAGTTTATTTATAAGGAGATACATGAAATTTATGGAAACCTAAATTATTAAAATGATTGAAAAGTTATTTGACATCATCTCTTTACTGGCAATATTTTGATCACAAAAATAATCATCCGGTTATTTAAGGAAGAAGATGAGATTTTCTTTTAGGATGTTTTAATTGTCTTACTGAAATAAATTTCTTCTCCTTATTCTTTTATTTTCCTTTTTCATAAACAGAGTACTTTTTCATTTGAGGACAATGAATTTTTTCCTTTTCTCAATAATAAGTAGTATTTCTCCACTTATTCTTATATACATATTGACAGCAAAGATACTGATATAAAGAATCAAACATATATTTACTTCTACCAACTTAAAAAGTACCCATATATGCAGTTATTATTTAGGACCTCATCACATAGTCTACCTTTAAATAGCACTCCAGGTGACTGGATCATATTAGTATCTATGTGAACATTTACTTGGTGGAGGATGGGTAGAAGTTAGATTTTGATAGTAAGTAGTTAGTACTTCCGTCATTTGAAAAATCCAATGCCCTATGTGAATTTGGACTAAGAGGAGAGGTTGAGAGGAAGAATTGAGGGATTTCAGCATTTGAAATTGAGCATTTCTTTTTCTATGTTACTAAACAACCTAAATTAAAAAAAAAAAACAAAACTGTTATGGCAAAAAAGGTATTAAGAACTATTTATTTGGAACAAAATTGACAGTGACAGTTTAAAAGATTAGATAGGAATCCTCAGAAACAGTAAAGAATGCAATGAATGTCATTAAATTGTATGTGTAAAAAGTACATGCCAATGTAACTGAAAAAGATTCTTGTTTTATCATTTTCTTATGATTTGGAAGGAATATTCTAGTGTCATATTGTTAGTAAACAGGTGGCTTTTATAATATTTGTCAGAATAGTTTTAACTTCATATATAAAATTGTGAAATTTTACATACATAGGTGCCACTTTTTCCTTGAAAATATAATGCATATTATTTTGTGAAAAACTTTCAAAGTATAGGGGAAAAAAAGAATGAAACTTACCTGTAATCCTGCCATTAAGATACTTGTTTATAAACATATAAATTTATAAATAAAATTAGAATAATACCATTATTGAAATACTTTGGAGCCTACTTAGGAAAATAATATGATTTTTTCCCCTCCTTTTAAAAGTACCCCTCAAAACTATGCTATTAAGTTTAATACTCAATTTTATCTTAATTATTATATCTTATTTGCTTCCAGTTTTTTATTATTATCCATGATGATGATATTATGGTAATCTTTGACTAAAGTCTTACATACTTTTGTTAGGAAAAAAATCTGTCAAGATCACTCTTTAAAAGTGAAATTATTATTATAAACAAAAAAGAAAGACTTTAAGTTTTTTTTATATTGACTACCAAATTTTCCTCCATAAAATGTTTTTATAAATGATATTCATTAAGAAATCTGTACTAACAAGGGAGGTGCATATTTCTCAGAACAGCCACTCATGAAGGATCACAAGGGTAGTTTTGCTCAGGATGGATCAATCTCAAAAAATTTGGAAAGAGGACTGAATAGAAATGGAAACACAGTGAGGCAGTGGGAAGTTGTTGTCAGGTGCCGTCAAATCAAGTTATGCCTCATAGTGACCCTGTGAACAACAAATCTGAACCCTGTCCTATCCTGTGCCATCCTCACAATCTCTGACACACTTGAGCCCATTGCTCAAGTCATTGTGTCGTTTCACCTGGTTGAGAGCCTTCCTCCCCTTCACCACCCTTCCACTTTCCCAAGCATGCTGTCCCTTTCCAAGGAATAGCCTTATTTAGCAAAATGACTAGCGTATGTGAGATGAAGCTTTATCATGTGTATTTCTAAGAAGTACTGTTGTTGTACCTTCTCAAAGACTTACCTGTTTATACTTTTGGTAGTCCATGGGATGTTAAGTACTTTTCCAAGACACCATTGTTCAAAGGCATCAATTCTTCTGTCATTCTTACTCATTGTTCAGTTCTCAGATGCATAGCAGATGATTGAAAAGACCATGGCCTGAATCATGTTTATCTTAGTCCTTAAACTGATATTATTGCTCCTCATTAATTTGGAGCAGTCCCTGATTGTAGATTTTTTCAGTGCAATACATCTCTATGTCTCCTAACTGCTGGTACAAAGTATATTGATTTTGGGTCCAAGTAAGATGAAGTTGTTGATAGTTCCAATCTTTACCAATGATGATGTCACATACTTGTCCAGTGATGAGAACTTTTATTTTCTTGAAGTTGAGATGCAATACATATTGCATGGTGCAGTCTTTGATCTTCTGCAGTGAAGCACTTCAAGTCATCCTCACTTTTAGTCAGCAAAGTTATATCATCTGCATTATTCAGATTGTTGATGAGTCTTCCTCCAATGCTGAAGCCACATTCATAGAGTCCAGCATTTCAAGTAGTTTGCTCAGCCTACAGATTGAATGGGCATGGGGAAAGGATACAACCATGAGTCAAACATTTCTTCGTTTTGAACCATGTAATCTTTCCTTTTTCTAGTCACACAACAGCTTTTTATTTTAGCTGTAAGTTTTGCATGAGCACAATTTAAGTGTTCTGGTATTTCCATTCTTCTCATTGATAGTAATAATTTGTTATGATCCACACAGTCAAATAAATGTGTATGTATAGTCATTAAGGCACAAACAGACATTCATCAGGGATTCTTTACTTTCAGACAGTATCCATCTGACATCAATAAAGATATCTTTGTTGCCATGGCTTCTTCTAAAGTCAGCTTGAACTGCTGGTAGTTCTTTATGTACTGTTTTTGCCATTTTAAAATTATGTTCAGCAGTAATTTGCTTGTGTGTGATATTAATGATATTGTTCTACATTTTCCACATTCTGTTGGATCACCTTACTTTGGAATGGGAACAAATATTGAACTTTTCCAGTCATTGGCCAGGCAACTGTTCTCCAAATTTCTTGGCATAGACTACTGAGGATATAAATCCAGGGCTACGTCTGTCATTGGAAACATGTTGATTGGTATCCCATTGATTGCTGGGTTCTTATTTTTTCCAGTGCATTCATAACAGCTTGAACATTTCTCTTCACAACCATTGGCTCTTGATCTATGGTACTTCCTGAAATATTTCTGTGCCAATTCCATTTGGTACCATGATTCAATGTATTTTCTCCATCTTCTTTTGATGGTTCCTGGATTACTGACGATTTTGCCCATGTTGTTATTGTTGTTATGTGCCGTTGAGTTGTTTGTGACTCATAGTGACCCTATGCACAACAGCCCTAAACCCTGCTCTATCCTGTGCCAACCGCACTGCCTTTGACACACCCATCCCTATTACCCCAGTCACCAAATCAATCCATCTCATAGAGGGTCTTCCCCTCCTGCGCTGTCCCTCCACCCTCACAAGCATGATGTCGCTCTCCAAGGACCCGTCCCTCCTGGCAACATGTCCAAAGTATGTCAGACGAAGCCCCAGAATCCTTGCCTCTGAGGAGTAGTTTGGTTTAATCCTCTCTAGGATGAATCTGTTTGTTTTCCTGGCAGTCCATGGTACATTCAGTACTCTTCTCCAGCACCACAGGTCAAAGGCATCCACTCTCCTTCTGTCCTCCCTAGTCATTGTCCAACTCTCTGATGCATAACAAGCGATTGCAAAGACCATGGCCTGTATCAGGCGCACCTTAGTCTCCAGAGAGACATCTTTGCCCCTGAGTACTTTAGAGAGGTCCCTAACAGCAGACCTTCCCATCGTGATACGCTTTTTGATTTCCTGACTGCTGGTGCCAAGAGTGTTGACTGTGGAGCCGAGCAAACTGAAGCTATGAACAATCTCAATCACTTCGCCATCCATCCTATTGCTGCCAATTGGTCCAGTGGTGAGAATCTTTGTCTTCTTGACATTGAGCCTAAGTCCATACTGAAGGCTGCAGTCCTTGACCCTCTGCAGTAAGTGCATGAGGTCCTCCTCAGTTTCAGCAAGCAGGGTTGTGTCATCTGCATAACGCAGATTGTTAATAGATCTTCCACCAATCCTGATGCCATAATTCTCCTCATAGAGCCCAGCCTCTCAGATAATCTGCTCTGCATACATGTTGAAAAGGTATGGAGACAGGATGCATCCCTGGCGTACACCCTTCCCAATTTTGAACCATGCAGTGTTTCCCTGCTCTGTTCTGACTACTGCCTCTTGGTCTCCAAGTATAGCTTTCGCATTAGCACAATCAAATGTTCTGGGATTCCCATTCTTCTCAGAGTCAGCCACAGTTTGTTATGATCCACACAGTCAAATGCCTTTGCATAATCAATGAAACACAGACAGACATTCTTCTGGTATTCTCTGCTTTCAGCTAAGATCCATCTAACATCAGCTACAATATTCCTAGTACCACGACCCCTTCTAAACCCAGCCTGGACTTCCGGCAATTCTCTGCTGATGTGCTGTTCTAATAGTTTTTGGATAATCTTCAGTAGAATCTTGCTTGCATGTGAAATCAATGACACTGTTCTATAGTTTCCACACTCAGTTGGGTCACCTTTCTTTGGAATGGGAACAAATATAGATCTCTTCCAGACAGTTGGCCAAGTGGTTGTTCTCCAGATTTCTTGGCATAACTTGGTGAGCACATCCAGGGCAACATCTGTTATCTGAAATACTTCAATTGGTATACCATCTATTCCTGGGGCCTTATTTTTTTATATTTCCTTCAAAGCAGCTTGAACTTTTTCCTTCACCACCATAGGCTCTTGCTCATATGTCATTTCATTCAATTCTTCTGTATCTGCCAATTCCTTTCTATACAATGACTCAGTATATTCCTTCCATCTTCTTTTAATACTTCCTGGATCAGTATTGCAACTTGAGGCTTAAGTTTGTTTTTCAGTTCTTCCAGTTTAATAAATGAGCAAATTCTTCTCTTTTTATCTTACAACCCTAGTTCTCTGCAGATTCCATTATAATACTTTGCTTTGCTTCTCGAGCTGCCCTTTGAAATCTTCTGTCCAGTCCATTTACTTCATCATCTCTTCCCTTTATTTTGGCTCCTTGACACTCTAGTGGAATTTTTAATAGTTAAAACCATATACAGGGGCTAACTGTGAAACAGCCCATCAGTTACTCATGTGCAAGTTCAAATGTAGGATGAAGAATGAAAACAAATCCACGAGTGCTAAAATATGATCTTGAGTATTGCACCTATATTTAAAAATTATTTTAAGGATAGATTGGGTGCATTGCACACTAGTGATCAAAGACCAGATGAGTTGTGCGATAACATCTAGGTTTTCATCCATGAAGAAAACAAAACGTCACAAAGACAGAGGAGAAAGAAAAACCAAGATAGATATCAGAAGAGACCCTGAAGATGAAATTGGGAAAAGTAGTCTCGAATTATGAGGATTGCAACAACTGTCACTAAAAATGTGTGTGAATTTTTGAACACATAAAAAGAACTTGTTCAATAAAATTTTACCCAAATCAGAGTTTAAAATATTTCACTTTATCCTATAGGATTACAGTGAGTTGGAAATTATTTTACTCCAACAGGTTCTCTTAATCCAGGAGGCCTGGCTGCCCAGATTAGATCTCTCTCTGCTGTTAAAGATCTAGAGATTGAAAATGCAGCAGCTCTGTGGGAGAAAAAGTCTGGTAATCTACTCTCCTAATGATTATAAACTAGGAAACCCTCTCAGGCAGCTCTAGTGTAATTTCTGAATATGAGGTTATCTTGTATTTTAACTGCCCTTTATATTATCAGTTCATTGGTTGATATTTTTTCAAGTAGATGATATAGATAATAATGCAAACATTTTGTTTAAAATCTTCACATTCCCTACTTTAAAAATATGCATATGTGATTCCTTTTTCTCCCACCCTTGAGTAGTGCTGCTGCTTGCCTTATCTGGGGCAAAACTATGGAAGGATCATGAGGGCATTTGGTAATACAGGCAATTAGAGCTTTATTTTATGCCACCTGAATGATATTTTATAACCTTCACAATGAGAGCACTTCCTCATTTTGATTTCTTAAATATTTATGTACTTTAAAAACTTAATTATTAGCTTCTTTAGAGATTCTTTTCCTAATTCTCTTTAGTATCCTTTAATGAAATTGCCATCTTTGGTTAGGTTTTTGAAAGAGCACTAAGTTAAAAAAGGTATTCATCCATTCTTTTTTAAAAAGACTCATAGTTCTGTTCATATGGGAAGCTACTACACAATTTATTCTTATTGGCCACCATAATTGACTTTTGAAAACAAGAGTAATTTATGTGTGAGCTAACATTTTTAATATATCAGCTCACTGATACTTTTTTCAAGTAGATAATGTACATGTTATGCAAATAAAAGGGTATATAATATGCATTTTACGTTTACTTTCTTTTTTTCTGTATTATTTCAGTTTTCCCATATTATTTTAACAAAGCCTGACTACATTTTCAGTGATTTAATTTTAATATTATAAATATGTCTTTATTTGCTTATTTAAAGAGAATGAGTAACTGAAGAATAGATGTGTATTCCAATATATTTTTAGAAACATTTTGAAGTGTTTAAAAAATGAGGTTTTTTTTCCCTTTGGACATATCTTTCATGTTTCATTACTATATCCTTGTTCTCTAAGAAGCATTGTATGAAATGCTTGTCCTGAGATAGTCTTGCCATAAGTAGTAAAAAATGACATTAAAATAAAAAAATAAATTTTGGTATACAATTAAAAGCTTGACTTTTTATAGCTGTTATTAGATCATTCATAATTTCAAAAAGGGAATGAATATGAACTACAATAAGACACCTTGTGTTTTACATTAGTAAGGGTTCTCTTATTAAAGCTGCCAAAACAAAAAATCTTTATATAGCAAAATATATAAATTTATGGGTGAATGAGTATAAGGTTTAGTCTGCCATAGACTTAGAAATTGATTTAAGAAATCTGCTTATTTAAGATAATTTTAGAAGATAGAAAAATACCATCTAGAGATAATGTTCTTTAAAATAAATCTTTTATAAAAATGTAGTATTTATTTGTAGACGTGTTCAATTCTTTTTTAGTCTTTTGGGTCTGAAATAGGTGGAATAGGTGAGAGGTCAAGAGAAATCAAATCTATTTCCAAATAAAGACTCTTTTGCTGCCTTTTTACAACATACCTCCTTCTCTGATTTTTATGTGTCCTCTTCTCCGTTTGCTGACAATTAACCCAGTCTACTTTTTGTGCAGATATTAGTAAAAACTTCTATCTGTGCCCTTTTCTGTTTTCCTTTGGTAGTATCTCCACACAATAGTATGATGGCTTCTATTTGAGATTGCCTTAATTTTTGAAGAAAGAAAAAAAATTATTTGTATGATTGAATGATGATGTTTGTATTTAATGTCTACTTTCCTTTGACTTTGAATGGTAGTTGAATTGGGCATGGTGTTCTTAGTACCTATTCTTCCTATTCTTTGTTTCCTTATAACAGTGCAAACAAAAGATATTCCCAGAAGCAGTAGGAGATATGAGATGGAGTGTTGGTGTGAGAAGCAGAAATAATTGCCTTACTAATCTATCCCTAAACTCAGGGACATGCATCTGATTTTGTTTGTGGTTTAACTTTTGGCATGCTTTAATGAAGACACATTTTCCCATTACAATGGTCTCATTTGGAAGTTGTTAAAAAATAAAATTTTTTTAAAAAATTAAAATCATTAGGGAAAGAAAAAGTATTCCTTATCTCTGAGAATTTAACATGAAATTATGTATTGCTTTCTTTATACCATCATGCTTTGTGTAAGAGTATTCTTTCCTCCTCCAATGTCTGCATCTTTTTTTTTTTTAAAAAAAACAAATTTGGAATGATGGTAACTGTCTCTGAAGATTGTTAGAAATATCATGAAGTAATAGATTTGACACATCTGGGAAAATACATAAAAAGTTGTACAAGAAATGAAATGTTATTTGGCATTTTAATAGGCAATAAGCAATAAATGATGTTTTCTTGAATGGGACGTAGTCAGTGACTGAAGATGACATTAAGTCCTCGAAGCTGGTATAGATTTTTAGAGTCTGAATCAACTAATTGAGTGCATTACAACTTAGCTTGTTTATTCTTTTAAGAAATCCTAATATCAGTGTGGTTATTTGGGTTTTTTTTCATTAATTAGATGTAATTATTATGGTGCATTATATAATTAATTTCATTGATGGTTTTTTAGTAGTACTGGTAGAATCCATGAGATGGAATCACATGACGGAATGCATGAGATGAGTTAAGTGTTTGCACTTTGGTTGCTTCTCTTATGCTTAAGGGTAAAACCTGGAATTTGACTTTCTGGTATGTTTACAATGATTCCCTCAGAATATATGAAGCCACATATATTCTTTTATATTCAGTCTTAATTCATTTATGTCAATTGTATTTTAAAATTTATCATTTCCTAATATTGTATGTACTTTTCATGTATTTTACAGTTCTGATGGAACTAATATGTTCATTACACTAAAATACTTAATATATAAAAATATTGTCATGGAAAATTATATTTAAGGGATAGTTGTATGTGTTTGTTTTTAATTTTGGTCTTTTAGTTCCAGCGTGTTGTCCTTTTGGTTTTGTTTTATTGCTTTTTTCTTTAATTTTGCTTACCAGAGCCAAAGGCTTAGTAGAAGAACAACGCCTTTTGTTCCTAGGGTTCAGGTAAAGGCCTTGTCTGCCTGATAGAGCCTCAAGTTGTGTTTTAACCCTTACTTGTATGTCATTGGAAAATGCTTAGTAGGAAAATATTTTTTGGTATGTGCTCCAAACCATATTATTGACTCTCAAATCATTATATGAGCCAGCTTGCACAATTCTGCATGGGGATTAAAATACTGAATACAAATTTAAAGAGACAAACTTGGTTAGTGAAGTGATTTTATATGATGAGCCAAATATACAAACTTTCAGGTTAAAGAGTGGCATTTAATGTAGATATGATGTAGATTCCACTTTGACATGTCATGTTTACAGAAATAGCGAATTCTATGCTTCTGATATTTTCTTTTATTATACTTCGTTTGCTGTCTCTTTAAATCATTCATTATATCACTCATCATCTCCATTCTCTTGCATTTTCCAAGCAATAACTCCTTGAGAAAATGGCCAAATATATTTGTACCTTATCGAAAATATTAATTTATGTCTGTTATATAGAATAGTTAACTTTTGAAAAAGATATTACTTGGAAGAAAACCAAAAAACAAAATTACTATCCAAATACAACACATTGAGTTTATTTTGTTTACATTTTTTCCCACTGCAATTTATTTAACTTGACTGTAATTATTGGGTACAAATTGTTTGCCTGTTTTCATTAGGAAACCCTTAAATTGTAAAATAATTTAAACATAATTTTTTTAAAAAAAGTAGTATTATGCTTTCCTTGCTTTGCTGCATGTTTTATTTTTTGTTGGTTTTAAATAATTCTAATTTTGTTTAAATTTTAAAAATTAACCTAATTAATATTATATGGCATAGAATATGTGTCTCTGCTGCTTATGTTTGGATAAGGAAGGCTGAAAATGATTACTTAGTAAAGTTGAAATGATAATGAAAACAATGGAAATCATTTTTATTAATTAAGTTCAGAGATAACAAAGACTATCAGATCTATTGATTATATTTTGAAGAATAAACAAATAAATTTTAAGTTATTTTACAAAGCACAGATAAAAAAATAAGAATGTCATAAAATGATCTAGCAAACCAAAACATTTTATTCTGTTGATGTAAATTGGATAGCTATTATAAACTTCAATGCACATCCTTAATTACTGCATAAAAATTACAGCTATTTATCAAATTCAGTATTAGGCTATTTTTTTTCTTGAAAAAGTGCTATTTTAATCTCATAAATAGTATGATAAAGATACCTATACACTAGTAACTATAAAGGCCCTAAGTCTAATACCTGCTTTATGTGTAATGGGTAATAGTAATAATTAATAATATATTTTAACTCCATGGCATAAGAAAAATGTGGAAAAAGAAGTTTAACTCCAGTGATTTTTAAGGAAGCAAAAACTGTTGCTTGTGGAGATCATAATTACTTCGTTTTAATACCTCAAATATTTTTCACAGTAATAAATAATTTGCTACAATCACTGTGACTTTTATTCTGATAATACACATATGTATAAGTGATTCTCACTCATTGCCATGGAGTCAGAACTGACTCATAGCTGACCCTGTAGTGGGTTTTCAGAGGCTATAAATCGCACATGAGAAGATTACCTGTATTACTCTCTTACAGCTGCTGGTAGATTTGAACTACCACTTGTGGTTTTGAACCTTCGCTGGTGAATTCAAACCTCCACAGAGGAACTGTTCAGTCTTTTAGAATGTTTTTGTATTTGAAGTACTCAATGGTCAGGCCAAAACTTTCAGGGAAGTATTTTTAATACCATGGAAAAATGATATTCTAAATTCTTATCATCAAAAAAGCAGAGACTATCATAACAATCTCATTTTGTTTATACATACTAGAAGAGCCATGGGATTATAATGTTTTTGTTTCATCTCTATACACATGACACCTCTGTATTTCTTGCTTTGTTTGCTTTTTTGATAGATATTTAGTCTTTCAATTTTTCCTCCTAAACTAATGCATATCATTCAAGCTAGTGAATTATTCACTTTTCCCCTGTCATATAGTGAGATTTTTGTTGTTGTTGTTTTTTAGGTTTCTTTTATTCTGAGACACTAATTCTTAAACTTGAATGTACATAAGAATAACCAGGAGGACTGGTTAAAATACAAATTCCTGAATCCCAACTGATTCAGTAGGTAAAAGAAGGACCCCAGGAATGAATAATTTCTTAATAAATAAACCAGATAATATTCACCAAGGGACTGTGAATCAAATTATGAGAAACATTTGCCTGAGATATCTTTGTAAATAGAAGCTGTATTAAAACAAAATAGTTTTTTTGTTATTAGACAAAAAGACATATTGAGCATAAGAATTTAAAACAACCAAAAAAATTAGAATTTTTGAATTTTTATGGTTTTCACTCATATTCCTTTAAAAGAGCTAGTCCCATTATACACAAAAAGAAAATATAGATGTAAAGAGGTGTATGTACTCCTCTAGGCTATTAGCCTTTCTTGTCTAACTCAAAGATGTTGCTCAACTCTTCAGTTCTAGGCTGTAAACTGAGAGCCTCAATGAAATAATGTTAAAATTGAAATTGAACTACTAGTGTTTAATACATAATCAGAGTTGTTTTCACCTGATATTCTTCAGTTCCAAATTTACAGTTTCATTTCAATTATAGAATACAAATCACTTGTTTATTCAATTCTGAAACAAGATATGGCACAGAGCCAAGTTATTACAGATTCTAAAATAGATTTGATTATCTACATGTGAAGGTGTGAGATATGAGTGTGTGTGGAAAAGGGCAACTTCCAAATAATGACATTGGGACATTACTTACATTTTCCCTGTGTAAAACTATAAAATGTACATCATTTTTCAAAGGATTTAATGTATCTGCTTCATGAAAGAAAAAGAGATGTTTTGCCTATATAAGAAAAATTTATACAAGACAAATCTACTCCAGATTTAAATACAGAATGAAGACATTCATCAATTTAAGCAAGTAGGATTACTCTGTAAAAATCATTCCAAAATCTTTTGCTATGGAATAAGATCATTTTACTTAAAAAATATCTGTGTATGCTATATAAAGTTGTACCTACTCATTCATTTGGAGCTTTTATTCTGAACTTAATAATCATAGGGAACCAAGATGAACAACAGTGATTTTCACATTAGAATGCTATAAAGCAGTCATTGCATTTAAAATCCTGATATTTTAATATACATTTAGTGCTATGTACATGTTAAGAAGAAAGAAAATGAGAATAAATAAAAAGTGATCGACTAGTCAAGTAAAAATATTTGAATTGGTTCCTCTAACATTGAAGTTATTATAGCATATCCTTTAATATTAACTAACCACTATTTATTAAGTGGAATATCCTTTAATATTAGCTAACCACTGTTTACTAAGTAGAATTTGTACTCTGTGCTAATAGTAGTGTAAGAGATTGGGTTACGGATTGGTAATGTAAATATTACGATAGTTGCTGTTTACATTGATAAATTAATGTTTTTGCTTTTCAGATAAAACTATGGTTTGACAAGGTTGGTCACCAATTAATAGTTACAATTTTGGGAGCAAAGGATCTCCCTTCCAGGGAAGATGGGAGACCGAGGAATCCTTATGTTAAAATTTACTTTCTTCCAGACAGAAGGTAGGGATATAAAACAATAATAAATATTCTTGGAAATATATTAGAAAGTATTAGTATCAGTGGATATTTCTATGGTGTATTATTTATTTTTATAGTCTGTCAATTTGAAAATTTCTTATAAATATAATGCCTTTTCTTTTAAGAATCTAAATAATATGTAACAGTAAATAGTCTAGTGATGTAGCTTTTAAAAACATACTAAATGCTTATTGTATATAAAGATCAACACAATATGTAATACTAAATATGAATTATTATTATTTAAATGAAGTATACTTTTAATTTTAAATTTATATCCCTATAAATCAAATGCTCTAGTGTTTATAGGGTTTTCAAAGGTCTGTTATTTAATAAATAGATGGCCAATTCTGCTTCTGAGTCTTACTTAATCTGGAAGTTCCACCAAAACCTGTCTACCATGAGTAACCCTTAAGGCTTTTGACACACCCATGGCATAGCTTTCAGAACAATGTTCTCCCCAACCACAATTAATGCCAGCCCGAGGGCACAACCAACTTTCAAATACAAAGGCCACCCACTAGGTCTTGATGATTTAAAGGTGGCTTCCAGCCCACAGCTGATTGTTAACTAAATCCAAATGGCAAATTCGCTTACACTTGATTGCTAATGAAATAAAAAAAATGACTAATCAGTTTTCACCCGATTTTCAATTAAGTCAGAACAACCTACTCTCCAGAATCCAACTGAGTCACACAGGAGGCTGCTCTGAACTGGGAACTCTTAGGCAGAACCAAACCAAACTGGGAAAATCTATCGTTAGAAACCCCTCCAAGTTATTTAGGCATAATGATGTCAGTTTGAGGACATCTGAGGTGTATCTGATTTAGGCCATACTCTTTATGATCACTTGCTATGCATCTGAGAACTGAATAATGAATAAGGATGGCAGAAAAATAATTGGTGCATTTGAGCTATGGTTTTGGAGAAGAGCACTGAAGATCCCATGCATGACCAAGAGAGCGAATAGATACGTCTTGGAGAGCATGCAGCCAGAGTGCACTTTGGGGGCATGAATGATACTCACGTGAAAGATACTTTGGCATGTTGCTAGAAGGAGCTATTCCTTGGAGCAACATGCTGGGAAGGGTGGAGGGTCTTTGAAGAAGAGGAAGACCCTTGACCAGGTGGTTTGACACGGTGACTGCTACAATGGGCTCTTGTGTGTCAGGAAATGTGAGGATGATGCAGGATAGAATAGGGTTCAGTCATACTCTACTTGATGGCACATAACAACAAATCAAATGCATTTTTTAAAAAAATGCCAAAAGAAAAAGAACCCAAAGTAGATTAATATTCTATTGCAATTCTACCTCCTCTATTATTTTATTTCTGAAAATATAATATAGGATAGGATAGGATAGGATAGGATAGGATAGGATATATGTATATAATTTTATATTCTGCAAATTGTAACAAGTTGGTTTGCTTTTGTTTTTATCATACCACATCATCCGGGAACTTTCATCATTGGTTTCATAGTTAACTTCTTCAAGCTCATTTGTGTTTTCTCTGTTGTAATCATCATACTTTTCATTGTTTTATCCTGATTTAAATAGAGGATAAAGAAATGATATTTAAAATTCTTTTAAGCAATAAGAAATTACACTATTCACTAGATATCATGGGGTTGGGGGAAAATACTAACAGTGTCAGTATCCTTCCACTGGGCAGAATGTTGTGAAGGTCTGGTCATTTTTTCCCCTCAAGTTTTAAGTGAATTATTACATATCTGATCCTAAATATTTTTTACTCTTTTGGGCAACGTTTTAAGTTAAGTAGCTAATCAGGATCTAGCTGAGTTGACAAAGTATGTGTGAACAACTGTATCAGTCAAGAAAAGGACCAAATAAACAGAAAATAAGCTCTTGCTAATTATAGTTTATTTGATACATGTTTTGAAATTACAAGATGCAAAGAAAAAATTTAGAATATGTCTAGTCATAAGAATCTGAAAACTACATTTTAACTTAGAAATTTGAAAAAAAAAATCTGCTTGAAGAAGTTCTTTAACTACTTTAGTTGTCTTTGGATTTAGAACTAACACAGAAGAGAAGAAAACATTTCATTAACTGTTGTTTTGGTTCTATTAAGTTGACCTAGTTAAGTCTAGCCTAAATTGCAGACAGATAACAGGTTCTAGTGTTCTAAATGTTGTAGTCCCAACTATTCTTTCATCTGTGTTAGCCATGCCCATGCCTTTCTGGAACATATATGGTTTATTAATCTTAGCATTCTTGGAAAGCCAGGATTAAAAAACAAAAACAAAAAAACCTGACTCTGTAGAAAGTTAACCCTTTTGTGTTCAATGTAGTGTTTTTAAACTTTTTCCACACAAAGTAAGTGAACATCATTGCCAACTTCTTTCTCTAATGGCAAAATAGTCTACATTTTCTTTCCGGGATGATTGCTGTTGTACAACAGCTCTGAATCCTGCCGTGTTCTGAGGCAGTCTCACTGACTCCAACACAACTACCTCCATTGCCCTTGATCCTCTATCAATCCATCTCATCCAGGTTCTTCCTCTCCTATGTTGTCTTTCCTCGCTTCTGAACATGATGTCCTTCTCCAAGAATCAGTCCCTTCAGGCCACATGCCCAAAGTCTGTGAACAGAGCTTCAAAATCCTAGCCTCCAAAAAAGAAACTGGATTTCATCCTCTCCAAGACATAGTAGGTTCAAGACTCTTCTCCAGCACCACAATTCAAAGGCATCAATTCTTTTTCTGTCCTCCTTAGTCTTTGTCCAGCTCTCTGATGCATAGTAAGTAATTATGAAGACCATGGCCTGCATTATTCTTTTCAGCCATCCATCTTCTCAAATAAGTAAGGCTAGTAATCTCCAACACAGGATGGTTGGAACCTAGAGGGCATTTGGGGAAATCATTACTAGTTCCCATTTTCAAACCACATGATAGTGGGTACCTCACATAGGTATAAATTTACAGAAGTTTTAAGTATATGATTTATGATAAATAATAAGTACTTATTTCTTATATATAATAAAGTAACTTGATAGAAAATGAAATTGTGAATGTCATAGTAGTCATTTTGAGATTCATATTTGTGTAATTTAAGTGAAAGTATGTCTATTATTATCAGTTAATCATTAATTAACCATATAAACAATTTCTAATAAAGCAATATGCTAAAGAATTTTAGAATTACTTTTCCTCAACCAGGTTTCACTTCACCTTTTGGGATTACAGTACAGCTTCTTACGACTAGGCCTCCAGACCTCCCTTTCACTTCACTCTTAATAAAGATTTAAGTTTTCAATCATTTGTAGTGAGATAATTTTATACATATTCATATGCTGCCTTTATGCTGATATAAATTATTTTATAATTATATACTTCATAAATAAATCCTAGTTTAAATTATTATAATACTTTTAATTTTAAGATAAATTTCTAAAACTTCACTTGATTTCTCTCCTAAGATATTTTAAATTTAGTGTAAAATGTAAAGTATTTTTTTGAGTTCTTACCTGCTTTCAAATTTTTTTATAGTGATAAGAACAAGAGAAGAACTAAAACAGTAAAGAAAGCATTGGAACCAAAATGGAACCAGACATTCATTTATTCTCCAGTTCATCGAAGAGAGTTTCGGGAGCGAATGTTAGAAATTACCCTTTGGGATCAAGCTCGGGTTCGAGAGGAAGAAAGTGAATTCTTAGGCGAGGTATCTGAAACCACTTTAAAGTTTGTATTATTCAAACTTAACTTACCTTTTGTTTGTGTGACTAGCAATGAAATAACTTTTATAAAAAAGTATTTGAAAAATACACAGACTTACCTTACCCATAGGGAGTTATGTAGCTAACCCAGAAGCTGCAATTCTCTTGAGGATCTGAATTCACCAGCTGCTCCACTGGAGAAAAATGGGTAATGTCCTCCCATGCAGTTTTCATCCTCTGAAAGCCTGTTAGTTTATGAGTCAGGTGTGACACCATGACACCGAGGGGTATTTTTTCCCCTTTTTACATTAATGGGAAATTTTCCCAACTGCTTCAAAGTATAACTTTTTAAAAATTTTATTTATATTAGTTTATTTATAAAATTTTAATACATTGTTTTCCAGAGCAGATTCTTCCAATTAATGTATAACTTTTTGATAGCATACAAAACGGAAGCTCTATGACTCTAATAATGTTTATATCTTTATTCTCGTCATAGAAATATCAATGTTGAATGATAAATTATTAACATATTTAACAAATAGGTTGCTTTGTTTATATTGTGGCATGTGTCATGTTTACGGTATCTAAACTATTCCCACTACTAGCTCATTTAGTCATGATTTTCTTAAAAAATGTATTTTATTTGTTGTAATTAAAAGTAGAAACAGAAGTGCATGAACTCAGATAATTTTTATACATAAGTTTAAGGTCATTGTCTACTTCAAATTCATAGCCATGCTTACTTTCATTTTCCAGGTTGTTCCTCTTTCATGAACATCAGCTTACTGCCCTCTGTTTCCTCTCTGATCATTTGAGTTGCTGATGTCAACTTGAAAGAACACTATTCTTGAAAGATTAGTTCTAAGCTATTATTTGATTTTTAGAAGATTTTAAGAGATAGATAAATCTATATAGTGTGGAGTTTATCTTTCAATATGACTTTCCAAGTGACTTTGCAATAAAGATGGGCGGGAATATGTGTATATGATGTGTTAGCCTATCCACAACGGGATTGTCTGTCTACCAGTCCTAGTCTCACCATTAAATTGAGCAATTTAGCAGCAAAACTATTCAGTGTTATCAAGTTGAATATAAATCATAGGGACCCTATGAACAACAGATCAGTACTTTGCCCTATCCTGTGTCGTTCTCATCATCTCTGTCTTGGCTTAAGCCCATTGTGATAGTCGTTGTGCCATTCTCTCTCTTTGAAAGTCTTCCCCTCTTTCACTGCCCTTCTCCCTTTCCACAATTTTGTCCCTTATCAAGGACTGATTCTTCCTGAAATTGTACCCAATGTAAGTGACACCAAGTGTCACGTCACCATCCTTGCCCTTTAGGAGTATTCCTGTAGCACTTCCTTCAAAAAAGATTTGCTTGTTCTTTTGAAAGTTCATACCTTATTCACTACATCAAGAAAACAGCTACCGCAAGTATAGCCTTGTTAGGATGTCAGACCTCATTGTTCAAGTGCTTGACCGCTGCTCCCTTGGATGTTGATTGTAGATCTATGTAAAAGGAAATCCCTGACAATGGCAATATTTTCTTCATTCATCTTTTATTCTTTATTCTTCTTACAGTAAGGATTTTTTTTATATTGCAGTATAATTGATACATGAGTCTGTGCTTTCCCCCATCCCTTCTTCCTAAGTACTTTGAGTCCTTTTCACTTTGAAAAAAGTTGTGTTATCATTTTTTAAAGTTTTTTAAATTCATTTTAATGAATGTTTACAGAGATTTTGGATTTCCATTTATTCGTTGCTGCATTTTTCTCCCTGACCACCCCTCCCTCCCAGTTCACTCTTTTCTTTGAAAAGTATAAGAAAAATTCTTTCATTGGTATACAATACCCCTCTCCCCTCCCCCCCCCCCAGTACACTCCACTATGCAACCTTCATTCTGGACACTTGTCATGACCATAATAGCCAATTATATATTGTTTTTAAACAGTTCTCTCCCTCATCTGTTTCAGTGCAGTGCACATAATTTATCCAATCTTTTTCAGTCTCACCCCAACCCTGATGTCACTTCTGTTCTACAGCAGTGGCACTATGCAGTATTTGTCCTTTTGTGACTGAGATGTTTCATTCAGCATAAAGTCCTCCAGGGTCACCTATTTTGAATAATATTTCTTGAGTTTCTTGTTTTTCAATGCAGCCTAGATTCCATTGTGTGAATTTACTAGAGTTTCTCTATCCATTTGTTTGTTGATGGGCACTTAGGTTGTTTCCAACTCTTTGCTATTGTGAACAAAGCCGCAATAAACATGGGTGTGCAGTTGTGTTATCTTTTTATGGTAAACTCCTTATATGTCTTCATCGATCCTGATGATGTGTTGTTTAAATATTCCATCTTCTAGAATTATTTGTTTGGCATACAGGTTCTTTCGTGTGGTGAATGGACACACGCTTTATTCTTGGCATATATCATAGGTTCTATATGAGCACAATTAATTTCTATTCCCTATGTTAGCCAGGCAGTCCGCTGCCTTTGTACAGTCATTAAAACACTGACTTTCTCTTCTTTCATTTAACGCCATCTGACGCCAGCAATGGTGTCCCTTATTCCATGCCTTCTGGAACCAACTTGCATTTCTCTACTGATATATTGCTATAATGGTTTTTTAACTGCCTTTAGCAAAATTTTCCGTGATGGTGATTTTAATATAGTTTCATAATTTCTTCAATCTGTTGGATTACTTTTTTTTAAACTAGGCTAAGGATCTCTTTCAGTTGACTGGCTGTGTGCTGTCCCATACTGTTCTTGGTATAGACCAGTGAGCACCTTCAGCACCGCATCTTCGTGTTGAACCATTTCAACTGATATTCTGTCAGTTCTGGGGAATTTTTTTGTTTGTTTTTTTGCCAATGCCTCCAGTGAAGCTTTGGCTTCTTCTTTTAGTGATGTTCTTTCTAATCATGTGCTACCTCTTGAAATTATTAAACTTTGAGCACTTCTCTTAGATACATTCATTCTGTGTCTTCCTTCCATCTTCTTTTAATTCTTCCTGGGTCATATAATAATTTGCCTGTGGAATCCTTAAATATTGCATCTTGAAGGTAATTTTACTCTACTTTGTAGGAATCCCCTTGAAATATTCCATTTAGCAATTTTACTTCATAATTTTTCTCCATATAGTTTTACCCCTTCTTAAAAGCAAAAGCACTACTGGGTATATATGTTTAAGAAGGCACTCTAGTGGGATAGAACATTACATGTAGGTTAATAAATAGTTACTGGTTTGGATGCACCAGCTGCTCTTCTGGGCAATGATGGGCAGTCTCTATCCATAAAGTTTATAACATGGAAAACAGGGAGGATCTCTGTAAGTCACAGTGGTCTCTGGCACTGGAAATATTCAAAAGGAAGTTGCAGAGTCACTTCTGACCTCCGTTTTGATTGTATCTTTCTATTTGGGCTTTGAATTACATTTTGGCTTCTTCATCTATAATGATTTGATGTTCCTCCTTTGTCTGGCTCCTGGTCATAAGTGTTCAGTGCACCATTTCTATTCTCGAGACTCAAAAAACTAAAAATTGTTGCCAGGAAATTGTAACCAGCTCATAAATGACTCTCTAGAAGCTTTCCAAAGGCTCAACATGGTACAAGAAGAGAATGCCTATCTTATTATGAGGGAGCAACTGATGGATTTGAGCCACTCACCTTTGTGTTTGTAGTACAACTCTCTGATACCCACTTGGTTACCAGAGCTCCCTATTCTTGAGAAGGTCTCTAAATTCAAATGGGATAAACTCAGGATTGTTCTTCAACTCTTGTGTGTGTGGACTTAATTTGATATGGTTCATCAGGTAAACAGTTGGGAAACAACTTTATACATCTACTTTTTAAACTTTAGAATGTTGTTTAACTAAAAGACCAGACTAGCTAGTCTGGTAGAGATTGGTGATCTCTGAGATTATGGCCTTGAGTTATCCTTTGAATCTGGAATAAACTCAATCTTGTGAATCAATATTCAGAGAAACAGAAGACAGGACCATAATGTGATCAGTAACACCAAAAAGGTACTCACTTCTAGATTAACCAACAGTATAAGGCTGGGAGAGCAACATTTTCCAGAGGATGAGGTCTGAGTGTGGGAAGGGGTAGGCCAGAAGGATTAATGGAATTGAGACTTACAAAGAGGAAGTGGGATGAGTGCAATTCTATTGTGGTACTGCAGTTAAGGTTCTAAAACAAAATGTGTGTGAATGGTTCAAGGAAAAGCCAGTTTGCTTTGTGAACTAAATCTAAATAAGAAACTAAATGTGACTCTAAATTCTAATAAGAAATAAATTAAAAGCACAGTGGTTAAAAAATATGATACATAAATATTTATTATTATAAGTGTTTAAAAGTATTAATCTATCTATAATGGTAAATTTCACTGCCACTAGTGATTGTCATAGGTTTTAAAAAAATTAATATCTTAGGCATATAAAACAATAAAGCTTATAAGAATTTTAAATATTTCTCCTTTATATATTTTTATCTAAATATATTGACTATTTTGCTGTGCATGAGTACCATCAGTTCTGATCTATTAACACTACTTTTCATGATACTAGCATTCTAAGACCATTTAATAGAGTTTCTGTTTTGTTGGTAAAACAGCCCTTTCTCTCTTGGGTTTTTAGATTTTAATTGAATTAGAAACTGCGTTATTAGATGATGAGCCACATTGGTACAAACTTCAGACCCATGACGTCTCCTCATTGCCACTTCCCCACCCGTCCCCATACCTGCCACGGCGACACCTCCATGGAGAAAGCCCCACGCGAAGGTTGCAAAGTAAGTTTTCATTAATATTTAGTCTTCTCCTTAGAGATTTCCACACCCCCCCCAAAAAAAACACCAACAAAAAACTAAATGTTAACTATGTAGAAAGGTTGAAGCAATCGTTATGGGCATTAAATGACATCTATTCGTTTCCATGAGCCTTACTGAAACCTTTGAATTATTTAGTGTGCTAAAATGATGTTGATATTCATTTCTTCTCAGAGTACTTTGGAGAGTACAACTGAAATGAAGAGGTTATTTTTTAATCTTGCGTCTTAAAATCTGAAATATAGAAATGAAGTAGCTCATATTCTAGAGTTCGATCATAGATCGCTTAGTTTATGATATAAAACTTTAGTTTCCCTTATGGATCAATAGTTTGGCAAGAATAGTGTAATGATTGAAATCAGGAGCTTTAATCTTAGTCTGCTCTAAATTTATATTTTTATTCTTTAACAACTGTGTTAAATTGAAATACCTGATCTCCTTATGCCTCATTTCTGTCATTTATAAAATGTAAATAACATAACAATATAGGTCAAGGTAGTTATTAAGATAATTTCATGACTCTTATTTTATTGATAATTAACTGTTACTTCCCCCCCCTTTATTTATTCTGGTTTATATACAATCAAAAATATCTTAAAAAAATTAAAACAGAATTTTAAGGAAATGGAAATATTTTCTGACCTGAAAAATGATGTTCTTGGTTCTTCAGCCCAGACTTCCCCCCACACTGATGCAAATCTATTATTGAAAGGTGAAGTGAGGAATACTTGCCAATATTGATGATATTCTTGGCATAGTTTCATCTTTATGACGTCAGCTTGTTGTAGATATAACAACATTTTTTGTCAAGCACTGGGGGAGTGATTGACTTAGAATAAATCTCAAAACTACAAATTCACTACACTTGTCAGCAAGTATATTGTTCCTTGTAAGATAAAAAGTTAACTTTATTGGTATGAAATTCACCCATAGAAGGCTGTTTGACAAATCTAAGATTGAGCAAGGGCTTAGTTTTATAGTCTAGTTATTCATAAGAAAGCCTGGGAAATATCTTCATTATTTTATAAAACAGTCTAAGCACTGGAATTTATTTATGTAAAGGTACAGAGGAACATGGAGACAGCCATATCTGACCTCTTCTAATTTCACAAACGGCATCTGCTTAAATCATACCAATCCACAGCATAAGACGAACTCTCATGAGGTCATATATGTCCCCAATCTCTAACACCTCTTTCTACTAATTCTAACATCAACCTTATTGCACTGCTGGATCTAGAATCCACTGCAGTAGCTCATAGATCGCATAGAACCATGTTGGTGGTATTGTTATGTAGCATCAAGTTGCCTGTGACTGATAGTGACACTATGTACAACAGCTCTGAAGCCTGCTCTGTCCTGAGCCAGTCTCTTTGACTCTGATACACTTACCCCCATTGCCCTAGTTACTGTATCAATCCATCTCATCTGGGGTTTTCTCTCCTATGCTATCTCTCCACCCTACCAAACATGATGTCCTTCTCCAGGGATTGGTCCCTCCTGGCCACATATCCAAAGTATGTAAGACGGAGCTTCAAAATCCCAGCCTCCAAGAAGAAACTTGGTTTCACCATGCATTTATCAGGGAAGTTAACAGATTACAATTCAAATTGACAACAGAGTCAAGTCTCTCCATCAGGAGAGCTTCTGAAAGCTAATGACGTTTTGCACACGGGCCCTTCAGCCTACAGCATCATGTCTTTAGAGCAGTGTTAATACGTTCTCTTAGTCCTGCCATTTATGCCATCTTCCCGTAAGTTCTCCAGAAAGCTGAGATAAAGGCTTCTCGTTCTGGTTCTGTATGGTTGAAGTCCTAGGTCAGCATTTTCTCATATCAGGCTGGCTCTAGAATCTCTGAAGGGTGGCACTGCTTTCTCTGCTTGTTGGCAGGTGGTGAGATTCTCGAATTGTGCTGCTAAATCTATTCAATGTAAAGGGAGACTAGCCAGTCCCTTCGTGGATAGACTAACAGAGTATTCACATATTTATGCTCATCTACATGTCAAAGTCAGTGGCTAGGAAAGCCCTTTTGATCAATAAACTGTTGACACCACAATATATAATTGATACAACATCTGGCACTTGGTTTGTGTGACTCAAATGTGCAGCATTCACTTTTTCCAGCCTCCTGACAGAGCACACATTCACTCACCCATTCCTATTTCCAAGTAATGCATATAAAAACATCTTTGTCATAGTAATTTTATAATGAATTTTATAGTGTCTGATTTTAAAGTATCTGCTCTTCTTGGCTTCTTTCTAACTTAAAAATTAGGATGGTTATATGAAGTCTATCTTTAAAATTCGTTATGCACTGATTCTTATAGAATCTTATATAATTCAGAATTCTCAGACATGTAGCTAGGTGAAGGCTATTCCTTGTAAAGGGACATTGTATGTGAAAAGTGGAGGTCAGTGAAAGAGAGGAAGGTCTCCAATGGGATGGATGGACACAGTGACTGCAGCACTGTGTTCTAGTGTGGTATAGATGATAAAGGTGGCACAAGATGGGGCAGGGTTCAAGTTGGTTCTTCATAGGTTTGCTCTGTGTTATAGTCGACTTGATATTTCCTAACAACAACAGTGCTAATCAACTACCTAAAAGGTTTTTGTTTAAACTTGTTGTTGCTCATTGGGTGAAAGAAGTGATGTAATTTTTGTTTATGTGTAAATCTTCCTTAAAGCTTTACAGCCTTAGAAGCCCTCTGGGCAGTTCTACTCCATCTTGAATGGACAATATGAGTTGAGATTTTACTTGAAGGCACTGGGTTAACCCTAACTAGCATCACGTCTTCTTACAGTTCTGAAATTCCCTCCACCACTGTAGTTGCTACTGCAATAAAAGAAAGTGTGAGGATTCTGAATCCCCCAGATCTTAAATCTATCTCTAGTTTTCATTATATTTTCCTTCCTACTCTATTTGAAGTAACTAAAATGAGGAATAGTGAAAACAGATTAGTTTTACTGAGCTGTTTGTGCCATGGAGTTTCATGCAATGAATTTCATTTAATCTATTTCATAGCTGTTAATATTTTTCATCTAAAAATTAGATCTTCTGCTCTGTTATTTAGTCAGTAATAGCACTAAATTTAACCATGGATAAAAGACTTTCAGGCTGTACTATGTCAGTCTTGTCACTATCAACTCATCTCTAATAAAAATAACTTTCAAAATTTTAACGTGCAGTTAAAATTAGTATTTTTTACCTGAAATGTTATAATGATGTTATAGCAGCTTGCATAACTTAAGTAAAAAATGAGTATAAATGCATAAAAGAAGCAAAGACTAGGAGGAAACACTTCAGAATAGACAGGGACTCAAAGATTATGAGCCTATTTTACACTGATTATCAGGGACAGTATGGAGCTGTGATGGCAAAGTCCATACAGAGCTGCATTTCTAGCTGAAAGGTTACAATGAGGAAAGATGGGAATAAAAAAGTGTTAATTACTTTAAAAATCATCAATGATAAAAACATCCTTTAAGATTTTTTCTCCAAGGAACAGATAATCTATTTTCTTCTTGTTATGTTTCATATTGTCATATAGTGTGAGTATTTAACAAATTTGGTGGACACCACACAGAAATGGCTGTCTTAAAACTTTGTAATAATTTCTCATTTATTAGCATCTTCTACATAATGACAGGTTTGGTAATTCCTTTCCTAGGCTATGAATATTACACAGGTTGTGCACTAATGGAATGTGTATAAATACAGATCTATGCAATGAATAAATGGTAATATTACAATTTCCCCCTTATGTTTTCATACTCTAAATTCATGGATTCAAAGAAATACTTCCTGTTCGTTGATATTAAAAATTTATTATTCTTATTAAAATTTTAGGAAATATATGCATATTATTCTAAAAGAATTACTTTATGTGTCTTAAAGTTAGATAATTAAAATTCAGTCTGTGATGAGAATCTAGACAACTTTCAAAATGGGCTTTTTTGCATAATTTTTCTAATAAAGGATGTGGTAAAAGTACTTAAAGTGATTGTTTTCTTTAATTAGAATTTCTAAAAGCAATAAAATAAGAATAATTTTCTATTTCATGTTTATAGAAGTGCTCTCCAACTTACTACTCAAAGCTAAGAGAAATTATGCTATGAGAAATTAAAATTTGAATGCAAAATAACATTTCCTAAAGCTATTCTTTTCATTCAGGCTACTTACTCATAAGTAAATAGCAAAATGCTTATTTGGTCTTTTGGCATTAGCACATGGTGAGAGCAGGATGAGTGACTATTTCAAGGAGTCAGTGCTGAAACATTCTGATTAAGTATAAACATGACTGGTGCTGTGTGTTCCAATGATTAAAATGCATTAATAAAGAAGCATTCTTGCTGGTTTAGATGGCAGAAAAAAATCACATAGTGATGGAATTTTATTTCCAAGTCATTAATAAGAAATTTTTATGCAAGAGAGGAAGAGCCTAGATGAGATGGTTTGATACAGTACCTGGGGCGGTGAGGGTGGGTGTGTTGGAATCAGTGAGACAGACTGAGGACAGGGAAAGTTTCTGAGCTGCTGTGAGTCACAGGTGACTCGACAGCACTTAACAGCAGTTAAGAATGTTTATTTATTACTTTCCTGGAAAGTAAAAAGATGCTGTTATTTTAATTCCTGTCATTCTCATTACCATTTGAATTGTAAAGGTACAATGAGAGTTTTCTTTAAATTGATCCGTCAGGCTTTTAAAGATACATAACCACATTCATATTGTTCCTTTATAAATGTGAATTCTCATCTTAGTGAAACTTAATATCACCCATCCTTTAATATTCTCTATTGTTCTTAATAGCAAACATCTTCTATATTATATTTTCAATCAGCCTCAAGGCCACTAATCTTAGTCTTTGTTATTAATGGTCATCATTAGTGACAAAACAAAAATAATGCCATCAAGGGAACATGATAACAAAAAACATAATATAATAATTAAGAATTTCATGATTTA